CTTGCATATTCCTGGTGGTTCCCCGCCATCCCCTTTAGCTTTTTGGCCGTTTCGGGTTTAGTGCTGGGTTCCATTTAGGCCACAAGGAGTTAAACTTTTAGAGGGGGATCTGCGGGCAGCCCAGTATGGTAGGCTGGCAAGACAAGTTCCAGTCCTTTGGGCAAGGGCAGCCTTTCATTTGGCGGAGCACCGACGCGTTGGTACTCCCGCGCGCGTGTTCGACAAACGGCAAATAGAGCGCGTGGCACGCACACAAGAGACAGCTCAGAGAAAGCAAGCCCCGTAGTACGGTACGAAAAGAAGCGGGGCACTGCACGCGTCCAGTGTTTCGGCACCAGGTTTGGACCCCCCATCACAGCCTCTCATGCGCAACTTGTCATGGGAATGGACATTTGCGGACTTTGCTACAGCAGTCAAGCACTCTTTGCTCCACGGTTGAGGTGAATGGTGCAGAATTCTCGCTGATTCCAATGGACAGTCGAGCAAGATAGTTCAGAGCGACTCTTGAGGCTTGCCTCTTCACTCATTCGGCCCCTGGTCCTCTTGAAAGGAAAGCAAAAGGCCGTGGAAGCAATGGCGCTCAACACCCAATGTCTCAAGTTTCAAGTCCTAACCCTACTTCTTTCCCTTTACCATGAGACCCTGCCTGCAGCGCCAGCGTTACCAGCCAGGCCACAGGGACATTTCAGAATGGTACGTTCAATAGCATTGATCGCCGTGCCTTCCTCTTGGCGTTTGCCACGCCTCAGCTCACCATCAATTCCAGGACGTGGTTTGGCAATGAGTGTGAAGACCAGGTAAGTTTGCGCAGCTTCGAACATACCAAATGGCTGTGGGTCAAAAATAGGCACTCAAAATGGGTTGCCCTAAACGGAAACATGGACCCAAACCTGCGGTCAATTCCTCTGAATTTTGACCCATACCCAACTCACGGACCCTGGGGAGGGCTCCGCCTTAACTTGAAACAACTTGAAGCCCCAGGCGCAGGACGGAAAGTCTCGCACGGCAGCATCGTGAGCGCGGGGGAGATCTACGACGCGGCTTGGATTTCAGGAGCTCAGGAGCTCCACGCGTTCGGTGTGGCCATGGGCAACGCATGGCATAAGCTATGGCGATCCCATTTTCAGGTGGAGCTCATCCATTTGGCTATGTTGATGTTCACCAGGGGTTTCCTGGGTTTTGACCCACAGCCATTTGATCCACCAAGCCAGCAACAAGAATCCTACAGGAAGGTGTCCAACGGGAAACGCCACGAGAAAAAGGGGGACTGGACTAACTAACTGCCTTGCCAGGAGCAGCACAAGTGAATTGATAGCACCTCCCAAAGCGCCACTCAACGGGGGGCCACGGAATGCTCACATGGGATTCGTTGGGATCTGCGGCCTGTAATCCTTGGTGTCAAACAGATATTTCTCCAAGATATAGGTTAATTTGGATTTTATTGGCAATATAAGAGTTTCGTAAAGTTTGGACCCCACTCTTCTTGAGACGTGCCCGTTGTTTCTCATTTCCGAATCCCTCATTTTGCAGCTAGCTCAGATATCAAAGATGGCCCTCCTTGCGGGGCACCTTCAACTGTACCAATCACGCATGGCAGGGCTCATGATTGCCCCGAGTAGAGCCCACTGGTCGTCTTGCTATCCAAGGAATACGGAAAGCCGCTGGCTGTGCAGCCGAGGAAGACTCACATGCTGTGCTTTGGCAGCAAAATAGGGGCCGATTCGGCCTTGAGCTATTTGTGTCCCAAAGCCGCTGTGACGTTGATCACGACATGTCGCTCTTGAGAGAAAGCCTGGAGTTGACCCCAGCTTAACTAGGTTGCACTTCCAGGAGGGCTTGTAGGCCCCCAAAAAGCCAAGCGTAACAAAGGGGGAGGCATAGCCCTGCCCATATTTTTAGGATTGGGCAAGAAATGAGTTCATTGCGGTGAACATTGGAGTACAGTGTAGAGGGTTCCTTGTCAACGAAAGCTGCAGTATGGACGGTCTCCTCTTGTGCTGGTTTCAAGACAGCCGAAGCGCGTCCACCCTCCAAGACTTTTTTTCCGCTCAGACAAACTGTGTATCGTTTCGACCCGTAGTGTGTGTTTTGGAGGAAAACCAAAGGACAACATAGGACAAGCACCCATTTCGAGAACCACATGCCAGAATAATCCCCAGGAACGACGCCTACTTCTCGACGAACAAGTCGTTCAAAGCGTGGCCGCCCCAGAGCCAGAAGCGTCGCAGGAAGCGTCGAACTCGAACGGGGGGGGGGGGAGGCTGATTCGATCAATATTCATATTCCATTTAGGGCCCCGAAAATGACCATGGGTAACTTATACCATTTAGTGGTTGAAATTTCATTTGTTTAGCTGATTTTTCTCAATGGTTATCCTATGTGGAGGACCTTTTGCTCAACCGCCAAATTGATGCCCTATCAAAACACATGGACACAGGATCACCCCTTTTCGGCTCATGTTCAAAGAGAAGGGATGAACAACAATCCATTTGCAGAGGTTACTGGTTTTGACACGCTCCCCGATAAACACAACCACCCCAGCATGCCCATGGGCTTGGTGCATTGTAGTTGTGGGTCCATTCCGCGAGGCTGAGGTATTGGGAAGTTCTGTGCTCAATCGTTCCACCGGGTATGGAAGATCAAGCCTTGAACGCACCTTCGAGCCCGCATTGAAGGCGCTGTGCCAGAGTGGTGCCGGCGTCCCAGTGCAGTTGCCGACCGTTTGACCTTGTGGTCGTCCCAGTTTAGCCTTATTTGGGAAGGACGGCTCCAAAGGTTAGCCATTTTATGTTCAGGTCCTTGTTGGCCAAGCGAGCTCATTGAGGTGTTGCCGAGTCTCACGTGTGGATTATCAGTCTGGACATTCGCGCAGTGGCATTCTCAGGCGCCTCCTTTTCTTCTGCTGCAAGGGTCGCCAGAGAGAGTGATGCCATGTCCACGTTGCGATGCCGCATTGTTTTCTCACTTGGCAGAGGCAGATCCACAGGAAGTCATCAATCCCTCTGTTGGTAGAGGGATCTAGCAAACCTCTTGACGTTTCCGGTTTCCATGCGGCAAGACTTCAAGAAAGCAGAGATGTTGATAGTCGGCGCGTCCAGTTTCACCATACGGTTGCTCATCGGCGCCCTAAGGGCAGATGTGTGACGTGCATGGAAAAGAAACCATTCATGCCAATGTAGGGGCTAGAGTCGGCCAGAGTTTGCAGCTGGTTGTTGTGGGTGGGGGATCGGGCAGTTGCTTGGTTTATGTTTGCTTACTTGGATGGGATACCAAGGGACGAAATGGGGCAGGGTGGGATGGGATGGTTAGTGTGGTTGGCCTTGGCAGAGCAATTTGCCACAAGCCACGGTTGAAGCCATTAGTTTTGCCGATGACCACTGGTACAAACGCAACCGAATTTGGACGGTTGTGCGTCAGCCCAAAGACTGACCTCGTTTTGGGACCAAAGTTCCATTTGCACAACTAGAGGCATATTGGGCTTTGTGCGGAGTTTTTGAATAGCAGGTGCTTTCAGGTCAGTCAATGTCTAACTTTTAATGCCTGAAGGATCGCGCCATTCCAAGCACAGCTAGGGTATACAGACATGGAATCGGGCTTCGGGCTGAGCATCATGATCCAGAAGCATGCCTAGGAAAACCCGTGCAATGATGACATCCAAACGGCAGTCATGGCACAGGTATGCTGGGACCGAAAAGTCCAATATGTCATAGGCATGCGCAAATTTCATGTCATGATTGCAGTGCTCTCGCAAAGCTTTCCAGCAAGAGCATAAAAGCATATTTGGCTGTGGGTAAAAAATGGGTACCCCAAATGGAACCCTGGGAAGCGGACACATGGACCAAAACCTGCGGTCCCCTGGCATACCCATTTTTTGCCTGAACACAGCAATCCGGGGGCATCCGACTTCCGCAACAATCGCTCGTGCCATGGGGCCCCAATGGTGAGCGCGCCATGGCCTCATCCGACCAAGACCGCAAACGGCGCAATTTGCGCCACCCGGATTCGTGAAATGGTTGCAACTGTCAATGGTCACTGTCATTTGAGAGCATATGGGGCTAGGGGTTCACCAAAATGTCAGTGGAAAAACCAGCCCCTGTTGGATAGACAGCCCAGCCCCTGTTGTGTTTGACACAAGGTGTGTTGGTAGAGGGTTGTGGTTGGTTGAGCATGGAAGTCGGTTTGGAAACTCGGTAACAGCTGCCTGTGCATGCTGTTGAGGTTCATGAGCACATGCTGATAAGGTCGCGATTTCGGGTTTTCAGCATTTGCGCTGGAATGACGATGTTAATTCTGGTGGCCCGCTTATTCGACCAGCAAATCTGTTGCAGAGAACTCGCTGACCGCTCGAGAACCAAGGCACGGGTCCAGAGCATTCCGCGAATCGGAGGATTGGCCGGTCATGTCAACGGGCACCAAGTTACCCAGAGATCCGACAGTGGCAGTGGCAATTTTTTCTCGTCGATGCCACGAGGCGGAACATCTCAAGGGCTGGGGCCCAAGTTGCCATGAGCTTGCAAGGGATGGATTCACACCGAGATCTACAAAGCCCTAAATGTTGGGATTGGATTGGTGGGATACTTGTAAACTAAAACCAGTCATGCCCCTTTTATCACAGTCTTAATGTTGCCCCCCAATCCATGTGTTTCCCCGACAGGACTTGTTTGGCTTAGGGTTTAGGATCAGATTCAATATTTAGGCTTAGGCATCAAGGCTTGAGGTAACTCAGCTTGACACGCCGTGGCTATTTTGGCGCCCGGTTGCGTAATCGAGCCAGGAGCACACTCGGTCAAGCGCACCCGCTCAGCTCCTGCACACATGCTTGCCAAAGCACTGCACACACGCCTGCAAAGCTATAAGCGCACCCACTGCACCCGCTGAGCTGCGCGCATGCCTGCCAAGTGGCCAGCGCGCCCGCTCAAGTGACCCGCTCAGCACTGCGCACATGCCTGCCAAGTGGTGGTCATGCTGGCTCGATGAATCTGATCCCGCTGGTGAAAAACATGTGCCTGGATTGTCATTCAAACACAGTGGCAGAACTGTTTGGCAGGCGCAGTGAATTTGACACGACGGCGAGTGTGAGAACAATGAAACTGCTCCTGAAAAAAAAAAAAAGTTTCCTGGGCAAAACGGTTTTTTGCCCGGGTGTTGCGCTCCGAACCCCATTTTTGCCTCTGGAATTGCCCAGGGCAGCGCATCTCGCCCGAACCTGGCCGCGTCGGTGGTGTGCCCGGATGGAACGCAGAAGGATGTGCTCTTCGACCACAGGCGCGCCTTTGTGCGCGCCCGCAAGGGCCGGGCGACTGCGATGAAGCGGCTGCAAGAGAGGAGACTCCCTCTATTGTATCACACTCAGACCACCAGTAAAGTGTTTCTTGTTTTCCCCAGGGGCAGTCCAATCACCATCACACAAGTGTGTCCATTTGTTTCAATGGCCCCTGGAAGTCTGGAAAATTGCTTGGCGCATTTTTTTTAAAAAAACTGTATTGCTTCTTTTTTCTTTTGCGGGGGAAGATAATGCTAGAGTTGCCCGTGTTGAGGTTTCTGCATGTCAGCAGTCAGCAGCGTTCAAACAACCCTGCTTCTGAAAGCATATGTTGTAGACAATGTTGATGTCCAAGTGTCAATGTGTTTGGCCGAGAAGGACCACGAAAGCGTGCATCACTCACACACTTAGTTGCCCCGCCACTCGCGTTGCGCAACTCACGACTGCGCGTTGCGCAACTCACGACCTCGCGTTGCGCAACTCACGCCAGCGCGTATCATGAGCCAGGCTGCTCCCAAAACGGATCCTGCCATACTGGCGAGACGCTGGAAGAGTTTGACACAAATGCTGAAGCCTGCTCAAACCCCAAGCCCTGAAGCACCAACACTGGTTGCCCCCACACGCCCAAGCAATCCCAGGCTTCCAGCGTGTATCAGACCATCTTCAGACACCGAAAACATGCGCCTGCTGCTTTGCTGGGCTGGTGCCACGTGAGTACCCCAGCCCGCAACCACCAACACTGGTCGCCCCCACGCGCCCAAGCAATCCCAGGCTTGCAGAGTGTGTCAGACCATCTTCAGACCATCTTCAGACACTGAAAACATGCGCCTGCTGCTTTACTGGGCTGAAGCTCCTTTTGCTTGAAGCACGCAACCGCGCGCCTGGCGCGCAGGGTGCCACGTACCCCAGCCCTGGACCACCAACACTGGTCGCCGCCACACGCTCAAGCAATCCCAGGCTTCCAGCGCGTATCAGACCATCTTCAGACACCGAAAACATGCGCCTGCTGCTTTGCTGGGCTGAAGCTCAACCGCGCGCCTGGCGCGTAGGGGTGCCACGTGAGTACCCCAGCCCTGAACCACCAACACTGGTCGCCCGAACGCGCCCAAGCAATCCCAGGCTTGCAGCGTGCGTCAGACCATCCTCAGACACTGAAAGCACGCGCCTGCTGCTTTGCTGGGCTGAAGCTCCTTTTGCTTGAAGCACGCAACCGCGCGCCTGGCGCGCAGGGGTGCCACGTGAGTATCTGGCACGGCGCCCGTCATTTCTTCTAGCCTTACTGCGCTTCCCAGCAGCTCAACCTGATTTCCCAGACCCAACGACGCTTGTGAATGAAATGCGCTGTAGTCAAGCCACGTCAAGCACGTAGAAAAAGACGAAAACAAACAGTGAGGTCGAAGGCTGCCCTTTCCTTTTTGGGTTAGTTTGTATGAACTTCCCCAAACACTTTATATAATCCAACTGAGCACCTAATTTCAGTAGATTGCTGCAGTGAACACTTTGTAAGACACTCAGACTCCACTGAACACTTGAACGTACCGCGTTGCGCAACCCGCGTTGCAAGGCCAGCGTTGCGCGTTGCTCGTTGCGGGGCGAGTAAGCTCACACAAAGGTTTGTGAGAGGTTTACGATTGAGGTTCGAATGTGGCGTCCATGCATTGGTGATTGTAATTAGGGCTGAGACAAAGGAAACATGTGCAAGAAAAAATATAGAGACACACACAAACACAAACACCAACACAAACACAAACACACACACACACACACAGACACAGACACACACAGACACACAGACACACACACACACAGACACACACACAGACACACACACACACACACGCAGACACACACACACACACAGACACACACACACACAGACACACACACACAGACACACACACACACACACAGACATTCACACAGACACACACACACAGACACACACACACACACAGACACACACACAGACACACACACACACACTCAGACACACACACACACACACACAGACACACACACACACAGACACACACACACACAGACACACACACAGACACACACACACACACAGACACACACACACACACACAGACACATACACAGACACACGCACAGACACACGCACACACACACACACACACACACACACACACACACACACACAGAAACACACACACACACACAGACACAACCACAGACACACACACACACACACAGACACACACACACAGACACACACACAGACACACACACACACAGACACACACACACACAGACACACACACAGACACACACACACACACAGACACACACACACAGACACACACACACACACAGACACACACACACACAGACACACACACACACAGACACACACACACACAGACACACACACACACACACACACACACACACACACGACCCACACACCACCCACACACCACCCACACACCAGCCACACACCACCCACACACCACCCACACACCACCCACACACCAGCCACACACCACCCACACACCACCCACACACCACCCACACACCACCCACACACCACCCACACACCACCCACACACCACCCACACACCACCCACACACCACCCACACACCACCCCCACACCACCCACACACCACCCACACACCACCCCCACACCACCCCCACACCAC